CCCTGAGAGCTCACTGTAACACCCCTCTGCTGCAGCAGGCCGGAGACCATACCCCCGCCACATAGATCATATCACAACTGTGAGATAAAAGTGAAAGAGCAGCTCACAGATCAGAGGGAAGTCACATCAGGAGAACATTAAGTATTTGTAGTATGCGATTCCCTTGTGTTTTCAGTCTGTGAAACAGCTGTTTGTGTCTTCACCAGGCAGGTAAGATCAGCAAAACTACACCATAGGATGGTTTGTACCCAATATTCTTTAAAAAATATATTATTAACATAACAAGAGGAAATAAACCGAGAGCGAATGGCCATCAGCATCTCCTCTGCCGTGCAGTCAGCAGGGGGCTTTGACGTATCAGGACCCGGAAGACCTGCGAGACAGAGGGAAGGACGGATTTATGCTGAGGGCAAATGTGAGCTCCGACCACAAGAGCCACAGGCAGTGTGTGGATGTGTTTAATGTAAGCAGGACTGAGGTCACTCGGTGTTATGGCATAGATACTTATGTTGTTGTGTATTACACACAATGGAAAGATGCCACACTGTGTTTTGTTGTTCTTGTAACAGTGACAATAAACAGAGATATTCTATTCTATTCAATGTTACACTGGACCTGAGTTTGAAGCTCCGTGTTTCTCATATAACAGTCATAGATCACGCATGAGTCTCACCTGAGTGTCCCCAGCTGAGCTGCTGATACAGCACATCCACCTGCACTGCCTCACTCTGACAGCCCACCTCCTTCCTGTCCTCCACGGGGCTCTCCCACTGACAGCCCACCTCCTTCATCCTCCTCTCCTCCCTCCTGTGACCATCAACGATCATCTGGAAAACCTGCAGGCGGCACAGAGGACAAACTTAATGATCACATCATTCAGGGCAGCGCACAGCTGTAAGGCGACTGCACCACCTAGTGTTTGTGGGTGAAAAGACTGTGACACAGTGTCTGTAGGGAGACAGAGTGGGACACAGCGATGACCCGGTTGCGGCTGTGACCGATGACATTAGAATATGTACATCAGTATTTCATTTCCTTCACATAAAAGTGCCCATCAGGGCACCGGCTGTATCTGTGCAGGTAACAAACAACGAAGTGACAACACACTTGAGTCTGTGCCAGTTAAACTGAACACATGCTGCCTTCCTGCTGCTACTCAGCATTGTAACTGCAGCTGATTTAAGGTGGAATGACTTCAGTCAGCTCAGACTGACTCTACTCCTGACATCACTCCAAAGACCAGAGCCATTTTATTTATAATTGCAATTATACTTAATGGAAATTAAAGGTTGTTATGGAACAGTTTTTTGATTTGGGAATGGATTATTGACTCTTCTGCTTTGGAAGACAAACTCATTCAAAAAGAAACTTTCAATAATGAAGTCTTATGAGAACGCTGCTATTAACTTCTTTCCTCCAAACAACACATTTGAGAGCATCATCAGGCCTTCTCATCCTGGTCGCTCATTAAAAACTACAGACGGCACAATACCACTTTTTTATGTCCGATACTGATATCATAAATTTAGATATCTGCAGATACCGATATAAATCCGAGATAGTGAATTTTATAATCAGTGAAACTGTTTTTTAAATATCTTGCTGCATTTTGTATAAGTCTATACTCAAGTTATAAAAAACAAAACATTAAAGCTATTCTGTTCTACCTTTATGCAAAAAAATACACTGCACCCAAAACATTTTACAGTTCAGCAACACTGATCAATCTAATAAACCTGAACCTACACCATCCTCCCTATTCTGGTATTTTAAAGAGTAGTTAGTGGAAATATTAAACAACCTAATAGGGTTGCCAACTCCCAACAAAAAATAAAAAAAATAAAATAAACCAAACCCACCCTCCGCCTCATTTATGCCTTGATTATCC